CTAAGCACGTTCAACAACGCAGCTGTGGCGAGACTGGGATTCGATTTTTAAAATGCACAGATACATAACGTTTTTAATTTTGGTGTTTTCAATAGCTAGCTGTTTGTAAATTTTACTTTTTATTGGCGGGAAATATAATTTGTAATAAGAAAAAATGTCAACATTATATAAATTTGTAATCTTTAACAAAAAGGGAAAATTTCCATATCGGGGTTAAAATAGGAGTTGATTTTTCAAATATTGTGTAGAAATACATAATTATAAAGGAACCTGCGTCTAGTTTTGGTTCATGATAATTTTACGTTATTACCTAATATATATATAATATATAAATATATAATATTATATATATATATATATATTTAAAGTTTAAAACTTTGATTGATTAAATTGCAATAAAAAATACTTCGACACGAGACGACCACAGATCCAAAGACCATCCCACGTATTCAATGAAGATTATTTTTTATGTACCTACTTCATATGTTTGTTGTATAATCTGTGACTTTACATTACCTACTTTGATTAACTTCTTGACTTAAGTCATAAATCAACACGATAGATGACTTGTTTGCTTTTTAAATATTGCAATAGTTGCAGGTGATAAAAAAATGATACACCTACTGCCATTTAAACATTAATTTATAGCTGTATTGATTTATTAGTTAAGACAAAGGTAATTTATAGGTCGCGTAGGCTGTATAAACAATTAATTATCCAAATATGTATACAATTAACGTTAAAGAATTAATCAAATGTGATAATAATCTTGGAAATTTTAGTAACATTAATTTGAACACTAAAACAGTTCTATTTAATTATTATTATGACTCTTAAGTAATTTGAATTCATTTTCACGGCTTGATAAGTGTTAGATGCTTATCTATTATATACTCTAGGGCTAATTATTAATATTAAGTTTTTTTTTTAATTTAAATAAGGAATGAGATCAATATCTACATATATCTTATAACTTCACATAAGCCTCACGTGTAAAAATATATATATAGATAAAACCGAAATGACAAAGCCAGGTAGAAAATGTACTGGACACAAAATTTACCCTTGAAAATGTCAATTTAGATCTTTAAATAATCGTACGTGTACATTGTTCATAAGTTATTTATATCTCACAGTTGTTGCCCGGAAGAGATCGCTCCAAAGCGATAAGCCTGCCAGTTGCCTCCTTTTTAATTAACTATTTAAAAAAAAAAAGAAACAAAGAACTTTATTATACATAATAAAAAAGCTAGTGCACTTTCTTTTAACTTAATGTAAGTTAAAAGAAAGTGCACTAGCGCCCACACTAAGATTCCCTGTGTCGTGAGGCCAGTCTCTTCCATTTGACATACCTACACGGTACCTACTTGACATAATAATTTCTACATGACAAATTTTCAGTGTCCTGTTTTTCTGTCTTTATTAGTGCAACGAAGTGTAAATAAATAAATACATTATATAATTAAATAACACATCGTAATCTGTGAATGGCAACCCAAAATAGAAACGGATAACTAATGAATTGTTATCATCAGATCTGTAGGTAGTAATTATCGGAGAGCATGGGCTGGTCCCTCAGACGTAATTCATTAAGGCTCCGGCGCAGGTGTGAAAATTAGAGGCGAGCTAATGACGCCTGCCACGCCCAGGATCTTTGATTTCACCGAAGGTTATGTGGAAGTCAAATAATCTCAATTACACTCTAAATTTTAGCACGTAGCAACGCATCGCTCGCGTATCTTTTAAAGTTTTTAATATCTATGGTTAACTCTAGTGTATTAGTTGGAACCAATAAATGTTGATTTGTTAAATAATGATAATTAGTCTATTTATATATAACTTGTATAATTATAACATACCTTGGTTAATTACGATAAAAAAATTCAGTGGTGCTACAACCTTTTTAGGTTGGGCCAAATGGCTTCAGGGTACGACTCTTATCCCTGAGGTCGTAGGTTCGATCCCCGGCTGTGCACCAATGGATGTTCATTCTATATGCGCATTTATCATCCGCTCGAACGGTGAAGGAAAACATCGTGAGGAAACCGGTTTGTCTTAGACCCGAAAAGTCGACAGCGTCTGTCAGGCACAGGAGGCTGATCTACTTGCCTATTAGATTGTCAAATGATAACGAAACATATACAGAAATCTGAGGCCCAGACCTAAAAATATTGTAGATATCTTGTATTTATCTGTCTTGTTTCCTTATTGATATATAAAACTATAGGAAAATCCATTGTTAAGAGATGAGACATGCTCGCATGATAAACTGAAAAATGCAAATAAATACCTATTGTTGCTTAGAATAATAACTCAATCGGCTCTTTAGAACAAAAAACATTTATTACCATCTTTACGCTCAATAGATCTTAATTTTTACATAACCTAATAACGTAGTATTAATTATATCATCAGCGGCAAGTCAGAGCAATTTGCCGACATGGCGACTATCAGCCCATCACATCAGGACTACAACAAATTAATTACCGACAACGTGAATGAGAGAACGCCGCCTGTCATTATGTACTAGATAACGCATTTTAATGAATTAATTAACAAGGGAATTAAGTTTCTAAATTATGACTAAACGTAATTAAAAATGGACAAAAATAGTCGTACTTGGGTTATACCCAGTTTCGCGTTACCTAAATGGGAGGGGGGGGGACTGGGGGGCATTTGGTAAGACAGTATTAAACTGGTGCTCAAAGTAAAATAGAGCTAGGTGAGGGGTACCGGGTTCGATTCCCGGTTCGAGGGCAAGTTTTAATTTAATTTAAATTTGTTCTCGGCCTTTGCGAGGGTTGTCCGGTACCGGGCGAGTGCTTAAACCGTACATGGAGGACACGGTCGAATTTCTAAAAGACAAGCACAAATTATTATAAAAAAATCCTATACTTGACGCTGGCTAATGCACAAATCGTGCCAGAGCCATAAATAAAAAATAAAAAAAAGTAAAATAGGAAGGCAAGTTAGAAGGTAGATAAGACTAACGAAAAAGCGAAAGGCACATGACAGTAGCGCAAACAGAAATGGCGGGAATTGGAGGACTTCAAAAGGACCCACAGATTACAAGTAATGAACAGTACAGATATAAAAATGTAATAATAATATTTTAATGTACATTCTATCTAATTTTTTAAAATTAATAGAGTATGAGAAATATTTTCGTCTCACAAAGTTAAGGCAATGTTATTAACAATTACAGTTCTTACTACATAAGGAGTATATATATGTTATATGTGTTTGTTATGTAACTTTTTTTTGTCAATTAAAATTATTATTAAGTTAAACATAACACTTAACACTACCGCCGCGGAATTCGATTTGTTCTAATAAACATAATTTAATAGAAAATATTACAGATAAAATTGAATAAGACTCCCTTAACCGGAAATATAATTAAGCGTAAAAATCAATAAATAAGCTTAGGTATAAAATATTGTTCCAATATGGACTACACGAACAAATTGAGGAGTTGAAAAATGAACTTTATTCATACAGGCATAGCCTAAACATTCCCAAATTAATATTTTTTCGGGATATAAGTATTTTATTATTGCAACAGCCGTCAGTAATTAAATTTATCGACACTTAGATGCAATGCCTCGTCCGTTGGCCTTTGTAATGATACCATAAAATACAATGTAGCTATATTGTAGGTAATTGTCTAATCGTATGCGTGTCTGCGGTGTGCCTAATGACTAAATTTGCATATTGGTGCGCCGGTTGAGCCATTTCGTACATCTGTCTTGTATAAGATATTGTGCGCTATAAACTTAATAAAGCATTATTATCCCTTTGAATGTTTCGGTCACTGTTCGCCGTAATATCAGAAGTCCTTTACTAATGAGCAGTGTTGGCCTAATGGCTTGAGCGTTGACTTTTATCCCTGAAATCGTAGGTTCGAACCATAATGGTGTATCTATTAACTCTTGCTCGTACGGTGAAGGAAACATCGTTAGGACACCGGCATGCCTTAGGCGACGGCGTGTGACAGGCAATAACGATATCTGAGGCGTTGTAGCGCCTATGAAAAAAAATTTCATTGGAATAACTAAAGTATTCGTCTGTCTCCTTTTACCATAGTGTAAACACAATTTGAAAGAAAGAGGCGAAGAGTTTTTTTAGTTGAAAGAATGCACTTAGACTAAAACAGTCTAACAGTTTTAATGAATACCTCCATTTATTAAAACTAAAACAGTCTAATGGGAAGAAGACAAGACATGTTGATTTTTCTAATGGGACGAAATTTAACTAAAATATAAATAACGAAAAGGTTGCATTGGTTTGTACCAAATGATGAAGAACATCTTTGACAATTTAGCCTAGAGGCCAGAATCTTCTATAGGCACAAATATGTCCTATTATTTTTCTCATTACTGAAGGTTACTTAGGTAGGAATAATTATTAACATTTAGAGGTTATTTACCTAAATTAAAGTAGGTACCATTAATAATTGCAATATTAGTAATAAATAAGATTTCTACTAAGGTAGACCTATTTGTTTGTACACTGGCTGAGTTCACAAGACCTGCTTGGTATGTTATCAATTAGTTCTTGGGCCCGTATGGTACAAGTGCACAAACACTAATTAATTAATATTCAAGTAGGCGCCTGGTAGATAGTACCGGTGACCCCAGAGCTGGTGCTTTCCTCGCTCAACGAATGAGTATCGCGATACATCGATTAAATGCTGCCAGCGTTAAAGGAACACTGCCACAGCGACCAAACTTTTTAAATTTCTTTATTCATTTTTAATTATTTTTATTATTACTAGGTTAAGAAAATTGTAAATTTGTGATTGTTATGTTTAGGTTTTAATAAACATTTTATATACATAATATATGTATTTTAATTGTAGCATTAACGATGTAGGTGCCATTGTGTCGTTATCGTATTAGTATTATCTGTTTAGATAGAACAATTAAATGGGAAAAAAAAATAAAAAAATCTTTAATCACACATCCTATTTACATCTTCCACAGATCGTGTTAAACTCAATGCATCGATACCAGCCCCGAATCCACTTGGTGAAGATCAGGGAGGGAGGTGGACCCATCACAGATCTATCAAGAGAACAGCATAGAACCTTCGTCTTCCCTGAAACTGTGTTCACAGCAGTGACGGCGTACCAGAACCAGCTGATAACGAAACTTAAAATTGACTCCAATCCTTTCGCAAAAGGCTTCCGAGATTCGTCGAGATTGACAGATTTTGATAGGTGAGTTGACATTTGAAAAGAGTTTATTAACATCGACATCACACAGAGCGAAGTAGAAGAAAATGTTACTATAATAAAAAAATAGCAGCAATATTAATAGAAGTCGAAGGGACTTATTATTAATAAAATATTTTATTAATCTCGACAAATAGGTTCATGATTATTGTTTTAATAAGGTAAAACTTCATTAGGTTTGGTAATAAGTTTCACAGCCCAGTAATTTTTAATTCAGCAATTTTCACCGACCAATCAGGGACAGCCTTCGGACAGTTAACAATTTGACAATTTTAAGATTGTAATTTGACGGTTTCACTTCGATAGATTACAATCTACCGAATAATAATACGTTAAATTGTAAGCAGTGCGTTGAGGTTCACAATCTTTCGACAGTTCACAATCTCGCGAGATAGATTACAATCTAACGGTGTTTACAATTTTACGGTGACATATATATAAGTTCTCATGTAAGTGACTATTGTCGGTTATGAGAATAAATGTCTTTAAACCTAACCTACATAGTAATAATAACAATAATTAAAAATGAATAAAAATAAAATTAAAACAAATTTAAAAAGTTTGGTCCCTATGGCAGTATTTCTTGTACACTGGCAGCATTTCCTCACTGTATTGCGATACTTATTCATTGAATAAGGAAAGCACCAGCTCTGATGTCACCGGTACTATCTACCAGTCGCCAACTTAAATCTTTAATTAGCGACTGTGCACTTGAACCCCACGGCCCAAGGGTCTCTACTCCATACCGATATTTTAATATTGACTAAAAATTAATCTGAAAATTGGGTAGCGCCATCTGTTGCCTCAAATTGAATACATAAGTATTTACTACACGGTTTAGAAGAGCTTGCGGCGTGAATAAATTATAAGCTCTCATAAAACGAAAGTTAATTACCAGTGCTTATTAAACTGTAGGTAATTTAAATGTCACTAACGCTTGGGGGCATAGATTACTCCAGTACAAAATATTATTAATATTCGTTGGAAATGATGAACAGAACGTTTTGTTTGTTCTTTTAAGAAAGGTTTCGGGGTCGTTGTTGAAAAATATCTATGCGTTATTAAAAATGTATGCGATAGCAGTGTTGGCCTAGTGGCTTCGATCCCCGACTGTGCAGCAATGGACTTTCTTTCTATGTGCACATTCTCTCGAATGATGAGGGAAAACAGCTTTCCTTAGACCCAAAAAGTCGGCGGCGTGTGTCAGGCACAGAAAGCTGAGCAACTACTTGTCGAGGAAAAAAATAACGAAACAGATGCAGAAATCTAAGGAGAAAACCTAGAAGGTTGTAGCGGCAATGGAATAATATAATATTCTATACAACGCAGGCCCCTTTGGTGGGGTTTCCTATTTAAGTAAAGCTAATTCACTGGTAATCGACTAACAAATTGATATATCCTATATCAAAGCTTTGGCAATTCCAAACCGATTAATCATCGCATTTTAAAAGCCCATATGCTCTAATTGGCACCTTTTACACAATGTCAGTCAAGGTAACATCAAAACTGCTCGGGATCGATGCGCTGGAGGCATTTTGATAAATTGGCAGGTTATTAGCAACAGTTGAAAGGCATTAGGTTGGCCGCCCTGCAATTTGTGCGGTGTTACCAACATGAATAAAAGATGCCTTCGCTGATTGCGGTACGAATGCTGATCGAAGATTTTGAGAACCTTAATCGAACCTCCAAATGAAATTATAGTCTTAATTTTATTTATGACACTTTAGTTCGCTCGTGGAATACTAAATTTAAAATAGTTTTTTAGCATTAGTTAATTCACCGGGAATATGAGATATGTTCGACAACCGTTACGGAGTCATAGTAATTTGTAATTCTCGAAAATGGCAGTGGAAAGTCGTTTAATTTGTGACTAAAGGCGAATCGAATTACTCGCAAAAATTAAACTGCAGACAAGTGTAATACGACAGTGATTAAACGATATTTGCACTTTAAATGCGAGTTTCATTCGAAATTGTTTCGAGTAATTTTGATTTCAACTCATTATGCTTAAGTTGTGCCGTCCGGTACGAGGCGAGAATTTGCCGGAGGCAGCCCATGGCGGGCGTTCCCATAATATCTACTACCATCGGAACTCGATTTTATTAAGATAAAATCGAGTTGAGACTCGAATTTCATAAGCGGACTTTAAGATTGTAGATTATCCAAATTAAACTTCAAATTTAAACGTACCTTTGTATTTTTTTAACACTAAATACCAAAAAGCCAAAACTTATTTTTTTTTAACACCTAATCCTATTTTGCCCGGTACGATTCGGCTTATTATGATCTTGAAACATTTGAAGAAGTTCAGGGAAGGTTTAAACGGGAAACATAAATAATAAGTAAAGAACAATAGTAAAAACGACGATTATTATAATTATAACAAATGAATGATCAATTTCAATTATTATGAAATGCATAAAACGACTAGTCGTTTCTTGAAGAATCATTCTTATAGACGATTCATTACAATTAAATTTCTATAAATCTTACGGAGTCACGTTAAAAATAATGAGTAAAATATTAAAATAACAAGTCTAATTTCGAACAGAAAAACTCAGAATAAGTGGGTCTAATATCTCTTTGAAAAATGAAGCCAAACTAGGTTCATGTTATGATGAAAGACTCTTTATAACAATTTTCAAGGGTGCATGTTTAATCGTTATAGAGAGATATAGAGAGTTATAACGAATGACGTTGTAAAGAGTTTAAAAACTGTTTATAAAAATCTAGTAAGTTCCAATTTCCTCGTACACAGAAGGCCACTTCTTCTGGCTTCACGAGTTCTAAACATATGCAGAGATGCGAGGTGAAATGTTTAGCGCCACTTGACGTATGTTTTCATGTTCGAGAACATTTAGTAGGACAAATATAGCGGGCTCAGTGTGGAAACAGCGCACGTCAACAGCGAGCATGGCCGGCGGCGGCGGCGCGCGTAATCACAGGGCTCGTTGCTCATTATACCCTAAACGACAAATTAAAGCGCATTTCTATTAACTGCCCATCGTCCGACCGGTTCTCCTGTGAACACGAAACACGCCATATTCACCAACTTGATAATTTTAGCTTGATATATCCTTGAAAATACGAACGAATATAATACGTAGTTTGTGATTTTACCTAAATTATTAATCAGCTCTTAAGCCCAAGACCACGCCTTGCCAGCCATGTATGTAGGTATGTTATGAATTTAGTTAGTAAAAATGTTTTCACGTTTCATCAGCTGTAGGTACCATGAGTTCTAGTTATTATTTTAGTTCTAGTTAATACGCGCATAATAGGAATACAATTATTTGAAAATAGAACTTTGCTGACAATTCTAATCTATGCCAATACGAAATATTAAATTTTTAAAATTAGAACGTTTTTAACTATAAGCAGAACTCTACAAATATTTGAAAATAGAACGAGAAATAGGTACTAAAAAAATATTAAAATTTAATTTGAATAAAAAATAAATAATAGTTTAAAAAAAACTAAAAAACACGATAGACGAAAAATATGGCACAGAGCGCCCCACGCTTTTTCACAATAATACCAGTATTTTTTGTTCATTACCATTTTCAGCCTAAATTAGGAATTATTTTTCACTTTTTAGTTTGATGTGTTTTAAAAGCGTGTTTTTTAGTTTTTTTAAACTATTATTTATTTTGTAGTTAAATTTTTTTTCATTTTGTTTTTTTCGGATTATTGCATTGTCATCGATCTTTGACAGGTGCGCAAAGTTTGAATTAAATCTGTCCGTTAAAAGTGGGTCAAAATCGAGTCCGAAGGAGTCGGTTACATACATAGGTACATACATACAGGTGAAGCTAATATAAAGCGTGTAAAATAGAACATACAGTAACTAAAAGCGGAACAGAAGTTTATTAACCAAAATGAATTATTACGTTGGGAAATGTCTGAGTCACGTTATAGAGCGATCAGATTAGTGAACCTTTTAATAATCCAATCTCGGTGCACGTCAGTGCGTGGCTACCGATTTGGATTAATTGATACAGCGTCGGCGTTGATAGTTCACCACTCGACTGATTGACGGCTAATTCGAGATGTTATCGGCACAATTACTGGCTCTCTGCTACTGCGTTCAGCTATGCTACTACGTTTAGAAATATTAAAACGTTTTTATAGTTTATTAGCTGTCGTGCATTATTCTTCCACTTGATTGCATTACGACTGGAATGGGTTTTGGTCAAGTAAAAAGGGTTAAATAGTTTGTTAGTTTTTCGCTATGACATTTTCTTTCAACATGTCAAGTGAAGCATGACGTACACCAAAATATGGCGATTTCAAAGTGCCGGAGAGTTTCTTGCAAGCTACGCCCTTGATTCGGGACCTGGCAGATAATTTAAAGTGAAAGCTTTCTTTTAAAATTGATAAGTATAGTTCAATAATAAAATTAATGTTTTCTATAAGGATCTAGAGGAAAAATCTTTTTCATAAATATTCGAATATTACATCAAAATATTGAGGGGATGTAACATCTAACAGAGTAATAGTAACATAGTGACGTAGTATTCACTAATAGTTTAAAATAAAACTGTTTCGTTTTGAACCATTGTTATCAGGCACGATAATTGTTTTAGAACAAATACTATATAGAAACTACTGTCTCATTTAGTTTATTGAAGTTAGTGCTTAGCGATAGCAAGTAGTGTTATGACCAAAGATCATAGGATAAGGAAAACATAGGTTACAGAAGGGATTGTGGAAACGCAATTAATGTCTAAAAAATTTAAATAAAGTAAGATTTATAAACGTATTTTAAGTAATAATGTAATAAATAACATTCGAAAAAAAAATGTTTAACATTGATGAACGTCAGTAAAAAAATTGCTTCTAATTTTACATTTAGCCAGTTCTCATGAAGGGCGTAGAACGGACAAGAAGACGGCAAATATCTCTCCTTCAATCGCCAAGGTTAAAAAAAAAGGTTTATAAGCTGCAACCATTCACAGCAATATAATAATAACAAAAAAAATCATTAAT